CCCCAAAACCCCAAAACCCCAAAACCCCATAGAATGAAAATAAGTTAAGTTATTGGTAAAATAAAATTATGTTTAAACTATACTAATTATGCTATATTCTAACGTTTAGTTTATTTATCCACTTTCACGAATTCTTTAATCATCGGATAGTAATATTATATAATTAATGAGATAAATAGTAACTTTTCTAACTCTGTTAGCAGGCTGCTCTTAAGCTGGATTTCTACAGGATTACAGCTTGAAGTAGTTATTAGAAATTATAAATAGACAGGGTTAACCACCTACACCTCAATCCAGATATAAGGTTCCTCAAGAATGCTATTCTGCTATCTTTAGATGGAAAAAAGGTCCCCCAAATTATAAGGATATTTTAAACAAGGGGGAGGAATGGACTGATGCAAGTTTCCCACCTGAATCTAGCTCAATAAGATGGCCCGATAAATCTGACAATGATATGCTTAGTGCAGCTAGTGTTGCTACTTGGAAAAGGCTGCAGAAATTATATCCATTCGGCACAATGTTTGGAACTGAAGGGTGCGATCATGATATAGCTTAAGGATCAGTTGGAGACTGTTACTATTTAGCAGGTGTAGGATCTATATCTCAAAATTCCACAAATATTGAGAAAATTTTTATAAATCCTGAGAGAAACAATGCTGGTCTCTTTGCTGTAAATGTCTGGGTCAGGGGTATACCCTCAGTTATTGTTGTTGATGACTGGTTCCCATATATGACTTCCTATAGAGGACTTTTCGGTGCAAAGGCCGGACTGGATGAATCACTCTGGGGACCAATACTTGAGAAAGTATGGGCTAAACTTAATGGTAATTATGAAAACATTAACGGAGGTATGATGAATGAACCCTACAAGCTTCTAAGTAATGTTAAGACCAAGTCTTATAAAATGGTTAATGTCAACACAACAGTACTGTGGCAACTAATTTCAGACGCAAGATCTAAAAATTTCCTTATTTCAACTTGGACTGAAGGAGGAAATGATTAATAAAAGTGCAACTATTCTATACCATGTGGCCATGCCTTTACATTATATCAAGCCAAAGAACTTACGAATACAGTCACTAATGTTAAGTATCATATTTACTAAGTAAAAAATCCATGGAGAAGCGATGCCGATTACAGTGGTTCTTGGAGAGACAACTCAACAATGTGGTCAATCGATGGCAACACCTTCGCATAACAAGTAAATCTTACTTAAAGTAATGATGGTTATTACTGGTTGAACGAAACTGAAATGTTAGATGGATTTGCTGGATTTTAAATTTCACCTTATTTTTCATCTTGGACACATTCATGGTTTAACAAGGAAGATGATGATGGTCTTAAATCAACCTATTTAATATCCTTGAACTAAACTACACCTATGACAATCACAATTGATCTCTATGATAGAAGAATGTTTGCTTATGGTTGCAAAACTTTAAATACAGTTGCTAAAATTAAGATCAAGTAAGGTACTGTTACAATAGCTTAATCTACTTTTTGGGATTATTGGGAAGGTGGCTGGATTGATTATACAACTACTCCGTTGGCAGCTGGTAACTATTCCATAGAAGTCACAATAGAATGGCAATTTAAGGATTTAAGAGATTACACTTTGACAATCTACGCTCCATATTAGATTGCTATTATTGACAATTCAACCAAGCTACAAAGTCAAAGAGAAAAACATGATCTAAAGTTCACTCCCACTTCCCAAAAATGGAACAATAAGGTTATGAACTAAAGAGTCTAGGCGCCAACTTAAGAATATACCTTCACTGGCAACTTAACAGCTGATTTAATTGGAGCTAGAAATTCAACTGGATTAGGTTACAAAGGAGCTGATTGGTACTATAGTTTTAACAAGACAGTTGCCTACAACTCAACTAGAGACGAGTTAGTATACTATATAGGGACAAATAACACCTTCATTGAAATAAACATCACTATCTCTGTTTGGACATTGAATACTCAGTTTGAGTTTACTGGTAACAAAGCAAGTTAATGCAAGCTGAGTAAACCTGGGTATTGGGAATTCCTTGAGTGCAACTGCATTTTGAATGCATACAAAGGCAACAATGAATGTGGAATTTCAATGATTGGTGTGAAAGGAGGGCTAGTTCCTTATTTTGCACTTAATAAATATGGCTCAATATGAGGCGTACTCGTATATAGTCTATACAAGTTTTGGAAAAATTTCGAGAATACCAAAATTTTTATTTAATAATGCATCACATCTAATTTTTCGCTAATTTTGGTATAGTGGGGTTTTGGGGTTTTGGGGTTTTGGGG